TCCTTGGACTTTTTCAGCCACATCTGATTAGATGATGTGCAGAGAGAAAGTTGGGTCAAGGCTGAATCTTAGCTTTACTTGGTCCTGGCCACATGACCTTGGAAAAGTTATCAAACCCTGTCTATAAACTTATAGAAAGAGTTGTCCGTGTATCAGATCACACTCTTAACTCACAAAGATGAAATGGTTTTTTTCCATACCCGTCTTTATTTCATTTCAAGCTTCATTCCATGTGAGTGAGAGAGCTTTAACCTCCCCAGATTTGGCATTTTTCCATTTATTTGGGTAATGGCTGGTTGATTCCAGAGGTGAGAATGTAGAGTTATAGGGTAATGTGGGGCCAGTCACTTTTCCATGTAGTTATTCGTTGAAATGATGCTCCTCTCCATCTTTTGGTTCTCAGTCACTACTAATGGTCCTTTAGGATTGATAGCTGTCTTGGCATTTCCTTGCCTTCTATGGTGCTACATCAATACTGGTAGTGCTTCTCTTTTTCTCTGTGTGTGTCCTTCTGTGGACAGTCTGCCTAGTACAATACAGATATCACATATCCTGCTGGGGCTCAGCTCCCAATGTAACTGTATGTGATTGTATTCTGTAATTTATTCTCTCCATTTCCCCAAGCTACCTCACCTGGAAGAAACCAGAGTCTCTTCCTCTGTGCCTCCCAAAGGTGGACCACTGGTCTTCCTTGACCTTTGAAGGGTTGATGCCTCTGAAACCCATACTTGCATAGCTACTCAGCATAGGGTTCTTCTTTGGCTATTCCTGTGGCAAAGCTAGACACATGCATAAATAAAAGTGAGATGAAAGAAATAGCCAATAAAAATATAAGGAAAGAACTTAAGATCTCCAAGATCTCCTCATCCTTAAAGACTAATGAAATAGCTTATGAAAGAACCTGATGGATTTCACGGCCCTATTGGTAGCTATTTAACTAGTTCTTCCCTCTGACCTAGTAGACATGTTGTTTAGAAATTTATCATATGCTGCCTTGAGGTTCCTGATTATTTTAGAACATCTCATACTTATATTTTAATTTAACATAATTTTTCTACTCAATATAAACTCTAAAGATCCCAGCCCACAACCTACAATTATATAAACCTAACGTAAGACTAGACACAACAGGAAATGTTTTTGAAATGCTGATCTAGTCTAAGAAATCTAAAATCATGTCTGGAAACAAAGTTTTGAGAATTTTTTGTTCTCTTAAAATGATTTATGACCATGTTTATTCTAAATTTTGACAGAAGAGCTGTGTGGTCCATGTGGACATCTTCAATATTAAAAAGAAAAACTTTTCAGTGTATCTATTATTTTTAATATCTTATATCACATCTAGTACTGGGTAAAATATATTTCAAATTTTATGAATGTCTCCCATTGCTAACTAAATCGGTTTCCTAGAAACTTCTGACTCATAAATGTGGTATATCACAGATCTTGGATTCGTAAGTTGAAAATACAGAACATGATACCTTGGTAACCAACCTAGTCACGGCCATTGGCCTTTGAGAAGGAGACTCTAAGAGAGATGCTAAGGAAGGCTAGATGATAGATGATGTACTTGAAGTGTAGGAACATATACTTTACAACTTTAGGCCTAAGTTTTATTAATATAGAGGCTATCTTATTTATGGTTTTATTGCTGTGAAGAGACACCATGGCTATAGCAACTCTTATAAAAGGAAATATTTAATTGGGGCTAGCTTATGGTTCTGAGGTTTAGTCTATTATCATCATGGCAGGAAGCATGGTGGCACACAGGCAGACACGGTGCTGGAGAGGTAGCTCAGAGTTCTACATCTGCATGGGCAGGCAGCAGGAAGAGAACCGTGAGCCCAGTGGCCAGGCTTGAGTATTTGAGACCTCAAAGTCTGCCCACAGTAACAGATTCCCTCCAACAAAGCCACACTTACTCTGGCAAAGCTACAGTTACTCTGACAAGACCACACCTCCTAATAGCGCAACTCCCTGTGAGCATGTGTGAGCATTTTCTTTCAAACCACCACAGGTGCTATATGAGTGCCAGTCTTTCAGGGGGTTCATGAAGACTCAAGGAGATGCCCTATGTTGAGACTTCTCATGGTGTTGGGACACAGGTCACACTGAGACAGTGATGCTCATTGACTCTGCTGCTCAAAGGTAGAGACAAGTGTAGGCAGGAAATAGATGAGCATCTGGATAACACCTCCATTATTCATGCTCAGGCCTTTATCCTCTTTTCTATAGGTCAATAAAAGATATCCAGATATCCAGTCACAGGAGTAAAAGTCAGACATTTTGTTGCTATGACAAATACTCAATATTTACATGGGGACAGATTTATCCATGCTTCGGAGTCTTCAGGCCCTGGCCAGCCTGCCCCATTGTTCCCAGGCCATAGTGAAGCAGATCATCCTGGTGGAAGGATGTGAAGGAGAAGAGTTGTTCCTAAAACATCCAGGGAACAGACAAGAGTGATCTACATCTTCCAGTGAGGCCTTACCCCATTCTGATAACTCCCAACAGTCTATTCATATTTTGAATCCCACAGTGGATTAAGTCAATGATTTCATTAGAGCCCTCATGACCCAATCGCTTTCTAAAGCTCATCATCTAAACACAAGGGACCAACCCCTCAATATGGGAGCCATTTTGGGGTGGGGCACTTGGCGTCCAAGCCATAGCACCAGGGCATGAACATGTGAATGTTATAGAAAAGCACTTTATCCACAAGGAAGGATCTAGATCAGAAAACCCCAAATTGTCCTCCCATAGCCATGGCTATTTCAGGCCATCCCTCAAAACCATATTAATTTTGGAATTCCCTGTGAACCAAACACTAAACAAAAGTCTTATATTCAAAGCAAAGAGTCCTTATGTGGCAAGGAAACAACCCCTGGGGACAAAATGGCTTAACACATAAAACCAGATTGTTCCTGAAGCAGAGGATATCCTGAAGCACAGCAGTGGGGATACATCTGGGTCTTACTTGGTCCCATGTGCTTCTTCTAGCTCTGCCCTACATTTTACATTGTCCTTATCATCCCAGCCTAATGGCAAGATGGCTTCTGCAGCTGTGGCTTCTCTATAGAAAGACAACAAGAATTAAATTGTAAACCTTCTGAGAGAGAAAAAAAATAGAAGCTTTTATGTATAAGCTATCAGTCATCATCTCTCACGATGGTAGCCTAAATTTGGTCCCATGCATATTCTGGAACCATAATTATAGCTTTTTGAATGCCAGGTACTGATTGGCTTCATTTCGGTACTTGGCCCCAGACCCACCCTGAATCCATCACTGGAGCAATGATGGTATAATAAAATTTGCTTAGACTCTATCCCTGTAGTCAGTCCATGCCCAAGGCCTCAGGGCTGCCTTAGCAAGAAGGAAAGGGTGAAAGAGAGCTGCAGTGCCCATGAAGACCCTGATAGGATTCAGCGCATCGTCTCCTTCAATTCAACGGGCAATTATGAAGTGTCTGCTGTGTGCCAGGCAGAGTATAGCATGCCAAGAGGACACAAGAGGCCAAGTGTTCTTGAGAAGAATAAATGAGTCAACTTATGCACAGTGTCTGGTGCACCCTCAGCCCCTAATACTTACTTGCTCAGTATTGTCTTCATTAAAATGAATAATGCATGAGTGATCCTTGCTATCCAGGAAAGAGAGGCTTAAACTAATAAATTATAGCAGCTTGCAAAGAGCAAGCCTGCGGGTAGCATCAAGGAGAGAGATCACATAAGGAGTATGCAAAAGGACCAATGTGGAGAAGCTCACTGCTCAGTGCTGCTCGGTGCTTCTTAACCTTGGCTTCCCATCTGCTTTACCCAACAAGCTTTGAAAACTCCCCATACCAGTTTATCTTTTTAAAAGATTTGCAGATGGTTAAAATGATAACCATTTAAGCTACTAAAGACAGCACATACATGTAAACAATTCGCCAGCAATGCCAGGTGGAAGGGGCTGCAATAAAACCAACTGACAGTGATCCAAGCCCTAAGCCTGGAGCACAGTGGGACTCAGGGCTGGGACAGGGCATAGGAAGCAGGGACTCAATAGAGTTTGAGGAAATAGCACTGACAGGAAATCTAAGAGACCTTAAGAAATGATGAAATTTGCCTAATCTGGGGAGCAGGGAGGACAGGGTAGGGGTGAGTATAAGAGCAACAAGTGTGAGGGTGAGCCCAGGCAAGACCACCCGTATCTAGGCAGTAGAAAGAGCCACGCAGTATGTTGGCAAGGGTGATTCAGTAATGGAAAACATTCAGTAATTTCCATAGGAAAGCAGAAAGAAATGGGGCATCAAGGAATTACAAAGACTTTCCGAACACTCTAAGAAACATAAGAACTGTGTACCAAAGGAGCACCCACTACCCAGAGGGCTTTGTTGGCACACTCCAGCTCTCTAAAAAGCGGCAAGGGTACCACAGTGCCACTTGCTGGAAGGCTGCCCTTTGGGGAGCTGGGAAAGCCACTCACAGGCAGGCATAGTCTATTCTCAAGCCTCAGGCAACATCAAGCACAGAAGCAGCAGAGCTGCTGTGTGGAGCCAGACAACATACCAAAGCAAGGAGACACAAAGGTGTCCTGTGACCCATGGGCACTCAAGTTTTCAAAACCTTTCCTAGGAACTATCAAGATGGGAACCTGGTCCGTCTTCCCTCCACGTCCTGTTTGCTTTCTGAACAAAAAAATCAAGCAAGCACCATACTAAATCTGTCCATGCAATCCTCCCAAAGATAGGGGAGGGAGGGAGGCTGTAATTAATAAAGATACCAGGAAAGGCTATCTGGGTAAGGTGGGCTATAAGCAAACCTCATGGGAAGCCTGGCTTGGAGACCAGGGAGGAGATGGGAATAGCTTCTAATGAGGCTGCAATCTGAGCATTTAGGACAATACATGGGCACAGGCAGACCCAAGCTCCCACAGTGCTCAGCATCTGCAGATGGTATTTGGTGTTGTCCTTCCTACCTATTATCCTCAAGGCAGATGACAATATTTCTTGTTCTTACAGGAGGCGAAGTGGCCAAACCACGGTTTGCACAATTTTTCCATGGCAGCCTTGCAAGTCTCACAATCCGTCCTGGCAAAATGGAAAGTCAGAAGGTGATTTCTTGTTTGCAGGCCTGCAAAGAAGGGCTGGATATTAATTCCTTGGAAAGCCTTGGGCGAGGAATAAAGGTAAGGAAGGCACAGTGCTATCTATAACCACTGATTTATGAGTTGAAGGCTATCCAAGACCTAGCATGCCAGGATATAGTTATTCCCACAGAAGCCTCACAGAAATGGCGCCTCAGTTAAGGTGTGGCCACATTTTAATAGGGAACAGGTAGTGACCATGACTTCCAGAATGGACTTCTGATGCCAGCTCCTGAAACTTGTAGAACAGGTGCTGTGGAGTAGACAGTTGAAGCCATTCCATGTCTGCCTGGAGGGAGGTATGAAGCTTCATTTGTCTGTAGAGTGGTTGGTTGCCTTGCTATTCATTTGCCTAAAGGCACTAAAGCGGCATGCAAGAATACATTTCAGAAACATAAAAAGTAAACAAAAAAATTACAACTCCAAAACACAAATGAGGAAAGAAAGAGAAGACAGACATGAGGTAGAAGTGGAAAACAGATATGACAGCCACTAGGTCTTACATTGCTGAAGTGGAGCCAATTCCCCTCCAAGCAATATCTGGAAGTCAGAAGGAACTTGAAAAGATTTGTGATTTTTATTGCTTATGTGAAACAAAAATACACACCTGATTTGGGAAATCAGAGCTGTGTCCATAGGAAACTATCTCCTGGGAGGCAGGGGGAGAGGCAGCTGTGGCCCCAGCGAGCTTCTCTCCCACAGGCAGGGTTACCTTCTGGCCTCATCCAGCTATAAGAAGCTCCTGCTGGCCCTAGGCCCCTGAGTTATGAATAAAAATAAGGATCAGTCTCGTCTAAGGCCCAGATGAAGTATCCCAGTCACCAGTTTGAGAATGGGAGTCCCGAACCCTTTCTAGAAGTCAGGATGTCCCACCCTCTGTGTCCTGGAGACCAGGACAGCTCCTCGGGTCCCCAGAATCCATAGTTGTTTCCCCTTTGGCCATTTTCCAAGGGACAGTGACAACATCAAAGGACTACCACTGCTGCCCATCTGTACCCAGTCTGCCACGGCCCTGCCTTGCCATCTATGGGCTGCACTTCCTAGCCAGTGGCTTGCTTTCCAGCAGAACCTGCTCCTAACAGGGGCCTGATGCTTGAAAATTCTGTCCCTGGGTATCCAAGCAGTTCCTACTGGTCTGAGCACCTATGATGTTCATTAAAATGTGATCACCTCAGCAAACATGTCATGTTTAAGGTGTAGAAAGGGTTTTGTAGTAGTGTCCTGGAGACCAGGACAGCTCCTCGGGTCCCCAGAGGTGGATGCTCTCAGCTTATTCTCTTCAGATAACTCAGTGGTCCTAGTGGTGAGTAAACCTGCTTGGGTACCCACTACTTGACAGTGAGCACTCTGAGAGGCAGGCACTGCTTGTCTTAAAGGCTCTATGACCATTACTCTTCTCAAGACCTCTTCCCATTGACAAAAGTACTATGAGGTTCTCAACAAGGTACTGAGAACTGAAGAATAAAGTATGTTCAAGAAACCCTTAAGTTAGTGATGGGCTGAGCCAGAGTTGGAATCTAGGCAGCCCCACTTCAGAGCCTCCAATTCAGGGTGAATGGCCTCCAGGGAAGGTTCCCAGAGAAGAGAATGTGTAAGGACAGGTAGGGTTGTGCCTGTGGAAAGAGGGGATTGGAGAGGCCAGCCGTTCCAGGATTTGGGAATCTGAGCAGTAGCAAAGGAGCATTGCAGAAAGCACAGTAACCGCAAGGCCAGTGTCGTGGGCACCCAAGCACTGGCACAAAAGTTGGACCAAATAGCTCGGTGGAGACCACACCATGGATACTCCTGGATGTATTTAGAGGTATAATTCTTACCTATCAGCACTAAGAGCCATTGAGAGCTCAAGCAAGAGGGAATAATCTTGTGTTACACATGTGTGCGTATGTATGTATGTATGTATGTATGTATGTATGTATGTATGTATGTGGAGTTAAAGGTGCCTACCCTAGACATGGGGTCAGAATGAGAAAATGGAAGAAATACAGTAGGCATGGTTAGACAATATTGACCTTCCAGATATTGTTTAGGATGGTTTTGACATACACATACATGCATGTTAATCACATATCATTAGAGGAAGCATAGAAGACCACTTCATACTAGAAATGCTGGTCTAATCCTTATGCGTTATTTTCTTGGGCTATTGTCTACCCAGTACTATAGAGATCCAACCTCCAACCCTTTTTTTCTCACTCCAACTCCCTGCCTGCCTTGGAATGCATGCTCTGCTTTGAACCATCCCGAGGGGCCACTGTTGCAGAGTTCCAGGCTTGACAGAGCAAGTAAAGCGGAGATCCTAGACTTAACAGCCAGGCAATTTGTGAATTATAAATTAAGAACCAAAGTGGTTTCTACAGAGTAGTCCTAGCCTGTGGAAAGGACATGTGCGAAGATAAGTGTCATACAATCGAGAAGAGTCTGAGGGGAGGCTTCTCAGCAACCCACCTGCTCTTGCCCAAGTCACCACAAATGATCCTTCCCCATCCCTAAGGCATGGCTTGTGAGAGCTCCAGGTCTGTGAGAGAAGTTAATAAGACACACAGTTTACACAGCACTCACTGGGGGCTGTTTTATGTTCATTATCTCTGCTCCTCAAAACAAATTAAATATTATGACCTCATTTCAAAAGCAAGGGGACTGGGGCTTGGGGATTTGTCCAAAATAAGTCCGTGTTCTTCCCTTCACACTAGCAACTCTGATTAAAAGATGGTCTTGACCATTATTAAAACTAACTTCCTTCTGTCCCTGTGTATCTCCCACACATCATTTCTGAATGACTCTCGTTCGATTTGCCAGTGACTAGCCTCCTTCTGTGTGACTGACTTATAAAGAAGCGAGATATCACTTGCTGAAGGAATGTCTTCACTCACAGGGCCTAGTACGAACTCTTTGCTCCACTTGTCTTCCTGTGGATCATGCAAGAGGTCATTGAGCCCCCAAAGGGGTGACGACCCACAAGTTCATAACCTCTGCTGTACAGGGTTATGCTGGCTGTTGTATTGCATCCATGCAAGATACTGTGTAACAGCTACATTTTGGAAGAGTATCTTGTTCTAATTTTCCTGGCACCACCATCATCAGTGTATGAGAGCAAAAAGAGATTAGGGACCTTAAGAGCCAGACACTTGTAGGTTCTCAGCACCAATATTTATTTACTATTTGCTGCCTTGGTGTTTCTGGGCAAGATATTTGAACCTTGTATAAAATGGAATTAATACTATGTATCTTTTAGCATTGTATTAATTTACCAAGCATATAGATATGCATCCCTGTAGCAAACATACTGGGTCCTCAACAAATCACAGGTCCTTTCTGGCACAGGAGACCTTTCTGTCAAGTTGTTACTTAATTTTCTTATGTATTTGGAGGCAGGTGCATGCCATGATACTCACACAGAGGTCAGGAGTCAACTTGAGGAATTCAGTTCCCCCCTGCCACCATGTGGGTCTCAGGGATGGAATTCAGATTGTCAGGCTTGATGGCAAAGGCTCTTACTCTCTCAGCCATTTGGTGCAGATCAAAGAGGCTGGCAGGTGACCGAGGAATGTCAAGGTGCCCAGCAAGCTATGGCCAGCCTGTTGTTGAAGCACAAAGAGCCCAGGCTATGGATAAGACTTTCACCGGTAGTCCAGCCCATAAGGAAACTGAAGAAAACAGCTGAATAGCTGGGAGAAGTGGCCATTCTGGAAGGCATCTTCCAGCCTGCCATCTTTCAGTCTGGCATCTTCCTGGCTCTCTATGGCCACAGCACAGATTCCTAAGGACCTGTGGGCACCATCTGTCCCTATGGTTATGCCAGTACAAGCATGTCTGCCACATAACCACAGAATACTGCAGCTAGAAAAATATGAGAACCCATGTGGGCTTTTATTGATTCTGCAAGAATTGTATTGACACCTGGGCTTAGTACTGTCTTCATCTCCTTTGGTCAGAAGGGCGTTTCTGACAGCCTAGGGAGTAAACTGGAAATCCAACACATTGGCTAACCTATGCTTTCACTAAGAGGATTCAGTGAAGACATGTGCTCTGCTCATTGGCTAGGAATGCTACCAGGTCATCTTTCTAGACCAGTACTTCTCAAATGACCCTTTCAGAGGGGTTACCTAAGACCATCCAAAAATACAGATATTTATATTATGATTCATAAGTGGAGCAAAATTAGAGTTATGAAGTAGTAACAAAATTAATTTTATGGTTGGGGGTCATCACAACATGAGGAACTGTATTAAAGGATTACAGCATTAGAAAGGTTGGGGACCACTGCTGTAGAGGAACCTGCTGGTCTTCCTATCCACCCATCATGCCAGGCTCAAACCTTAGCCTACTCTGCAGTTCTCACCATCTTCATACTACTGCTTCCCTAGACCCTGTGGGAAAGCTGAGGAAAACTAGTAACCAGGCCCTGAGGGTTCTCACACACACAGCAGCAGCAGCACCACAAGCCTGTGAAAAAGCACCAATGACACTGAAAAGGAGCAGACGAGAGTTCTGAGTAGTGTTGTTGGTAGGAAGGCCTTAAATCTTCTTGGATCTAGACTGGATGGCTTGTAAAATATCTCCAATCTGATTGTGACCCATTTGTGTGTAGTGGCTTCAGAGCTGAGCAGCCTAAGTAGAAGTTATCTGTGACTAGAGACACACCCAATGGCTGGCTGTGAAACATGAACCTGGAGCCTCTTAAATGTAGGCCATGGGAGCTATGCTCGTGGATGGAGACCACAGCTCAGAGAGAGTCTACCCAGGGGTTTGAGAGACAGGAAAAAATAGTTAGACCATGGGGAAGGCAACAAAGGCACAGTGTCCTTATCAGCAAAGACTCAACAAAGATGGGCTTACTACAGCACTGGGATTATTACCCAAGTTCTCACATTGTAGACATTCTTAATCTAAAGTTCTGAAATACAAAACTTCATAAGCACTGATAAGCTAACACAAATGGAAAGTTACATTTAGTCTCCTTTGGCAGGCCCCAGTCAAACCACAGGCACACTAAAATGTATTATATACAATATTCAGATTTTCAGACTGTGTATATGAGGTATGCATTTCATTGGTAGAATTAGGTTCTAGCCTTACAATATCTTATTACATAAATGTGCAGATATTTCAAGTCTTAAAAAAAAATAGAAAATCTCAAATGCTTCTGGCCCCAAGTGTTTCATTTGTAGTATATTCATCCTGTATGTTATCTCATTTAAACTTCAGACAGATATTCATTTTTTCAGCTTTAAATGAGGAAATGAAGTTCAGAAAGAGGAACTAACTGTCCAGATCTGTACTTTGTAATGTGCATTGGATCCAAAATGACAATCCTAAATGTTGTGGTCCCTCAGACATGCTCCATAGCCTCAGAGAAGAAACATGGCTGGGAAGGGCTGACTTCATCCTCCAGACACATTGACCTATTGTGGTAATAACTCCTCAGACTCAGTAGATTGACACATAGAAGTGTTTTCCTCTTAAACTCAGTAGTGGAGGTGAGATAGAGTTCCTGGATAGAGGCTGAAGGTCACTGAAGTGGAGGGAGAAGACTAGCAAACCCCATATGGCGTTTTCCAGCCTTGGCCCAGCTCATCATACTGTATTTCTGGTCATGTCTCATTGGTTGGGTATGGTCATGTAGCCTTGGAACACATGGCACATGGGAGGCAGGAAGTATCACTTCTATTGTGCCCGGGAAGGGGAGTGAAGCAGGGTTTGGTACTGTGATGATTCATTCTGCTAAAACGTAAGAAGGAGGTCCTGGGTGGACTGAGGGAAATGATGCTGAGTGAAATGGAGGCTTGGGGGTCCATCCATTTAGTCATCGACAGACTTTCTCAGATCACTGGGGCTAGTTTCTGAGATCAAGGGATTAATGGGGGTCCCTGTGTTCAGTGAGAAAAGCCCTCATCAGTGTGCCAGGAAATCATGCTACTATTTGGGAAGTGCCACCAGAGAAAAGCACACAATCCTAGGACAACCTACATGAGGAAAGCTGAGTGCTTCAAGAACTAGAAAACAATAAAATACTTATATAGTAGCTAAGACTCGTCAGTTGACTAGGTCCACCATGTGACTGACTCACATGGCTCAATGTCACCAACGATGAATGACACATCCGTCTCCAAACACAGAACAAGGGTATCACTATGAAGACATTGAGTCAGGTCAGGGAAAAGTAAATGGATAGTTTTTCTGAAACCCATTAAAACATATATTCAACATCCTGTGTAGTAAGAAAAATATGAATTAAAACTAGAATAAGTTGACCTTTGTTACACCTCAGTCTGGCCAAGCTTCCAAAGGTTGACAGCATACAGATGGCTGCAGTTAGAGAAGAGGTACTTGCCCTCTGCTAGAAGGTGCGTGTGTGCATGTGTGTGTGCATGTGCATGTGCCTGTGCGTGTGCGCGTGTGTGTGAATGGGTGGGTGCCCACATACATGTGTGCACTTGTACACATGTGGGTGCACAGACTTTCACAATTCCAGCAATCAGAAATTTGTAAGCATGGGCAAAAAGCATATATTACTATTTGACCTAGAAATTTCCCTTGCCAAGATTTGTCCTCCAGATACACCCTCATGCTTATATATATGAGATATACAGAGAGAGACATAGATAGATTGTGGAAATAATAATAAAAGATTGAAATTAGCACAAAAACTCTATTACAGGTCATGGGAGGGTCATCCTTTTCATCCCAGAACTCAAGAGGAATAGGCAGGCTAATAATCTCTGAATTTGAGGCTACCCTGGTCTACATAGTAAATTCCAAGTCAGTCAGGGCTACATAATGAGACCATCTGTAGATCAAAACAAAAATACTTCCTATTAGGAACAGTGTGCCTGGGTTTTCAGAATTCCATCCTGTGGTTCAGACTGATATCTCTAAGAATGTCAATCCTTGGGGTAGAACTCCTAGGGAAGGCCCTGAAGTTCTTCAGAAGTTCTGGAAACAATTTTGGTGGCATTAGTGGCCACTTTGTGGATGTAATTTTACAGTTTTCAGAGGGCCGTGCCTTCCATTGACCATATTTCCCACGATGCCCACTTCTATCTTCCAGTATCACTTCAACCCTTCACAGTCCATCCTCGTGATGGAAGGCGATGACATTGGGAACATCAACAGAGCCCTCCAGAAAGTCTCCTACATCAACTCCAGGCAGTTCCCAACAGCAGGAGTCCGGCGCCTCAGACTCTCTTCCAAAGTCCAGTGAGTGAAAGCCACTCAGCCTAGGCCCAGCTGAGGAGGCAACAGTGGTCCCTTTAAAATGTAGACTTCTCTCATTCAACATTCCTCAACTCTGCTATCCACCAAAGGATGCTTCGGGGAGCTATGCTTTTGCTTTCTTAAGGGAAATGTTATCTTATATCACCAATTCAAACCCAGCTTTCTGTGTTTTATCTAATCTAGTGCCTAGACAGCCCTGTTCTCCAGCAGCTAGATCTAAAATGGTCTGACATAAAGGCATAGTATCTGGTACATGGTAGATACTTGACAAATATTTATTAAATTCAATCAAATTGACCAACTTTACTTGTAGAAATTCTAAATATTACAAGAATGCCAGGAGACGACAAGGCATGGTTCTTGTCCCCCGGGAGCAGAGTTCAACTGGTGAAATGAGATTACTGAAGGTTTTGATAGCTCACTTTTAGTCTTCCTGACTCACTTCCCAGACATGGCAGCTACCTGAGATGACTGCTAGGCAGGGAACCCCAGAGAGACTCCCAGGAGGTAGAAATGGAATCGAGACCACCTAGGAGAGAAGAACTCAGGAGGAAGAAACAAGTGTGGGGAGGATGAGTCTGCTGACTGCTACATTTCTGGGTCTGGCAGAGATTCCCCCTTGGGTAGCAATACTCATTGGGGTGATACAAAGAGCATTCCCACTCCAGAGGCCTAAGGTTAGATGTAGACACCTCTCAGTCAGCTCCAAAGTAGAGCAAAGAAGAGGGAAGAGACTGCCCAGTGCCCATCTCTGAGACCTACCATCCAGGTCTGCAAGGAGAATGCAGGAAGAGAGGAACCTACTGGGGAGACATGTCAAAAACCGCAAGGGAGACAGGAAGCTGGACTGGGAACCTGCAATGGCAGACAGATCTCAGCATCTCACCTAGAGCATGAAGAGAAGAAAAATCCATCTCTACAGGGGACTTACACAAAGGGCTTTTCTTCTTCCATGGGGACCTTCGCACAGTGTTCATGATGATGGCTGTCTCTTTAGAGCTCTAGCATCAATCCCTAGAGCACATAATTGGTCTAGGCAAGGCTCACTATTTTTTCCCAAGTCTTTGGATTCCATGATAACAGAGTATCGATGACATATAGGCTTCAGTGAGCCCTAGTGAGAAAGGTTGGACTCAAACCGTGATGCAGGCTCTGGACAGCAGGTTTTTTTGAGGGTCTTTATAACTAATTATTATTAATGTAGGGTTAGTACTACTCTCCTTATCATATAGATAAGATGTCAAAATACAGAGCAACAATATACCAGCCAGAAGTAGCCTAACAGGACATGGATCCTCATCTATCCCACTTCCCAGCCTTGGTTCTTGTAATATCATTTCTGACTCCCAGACTTTCATGTGGCAGTGCACTAGGGTGAGGTAATAGAGTGACAGCTGCCTTCTGCTCTTACCCATAGAAGAGGAGCACTCCTGTGCTGTCCCCACAGAGACAGAACACATACGTATGCCACAGCAGGAGAATTTAGCCCTGGGGTCTCATTTAGTAAGATGACTACAGCCAACCAGACTGTAATTCCCTTACCAAATACTAATGCACAAAGGCAAGCAGTTGCCTCCTAATTAATACTGCCATTGATTACTTTGCTAAAAGATAATGAAAGCTTTAATAGTTACTTGTTGCTAGTATAGAAAAGTCCCACCCCTCCCAGGAGCCAGTCTTTTAAGTCTCCGCATTGTTAGTGGTTAGAATGGTAATGTGGTTTTAAATGTGAAGGTCTGCTGATGTCCTCAGAGACTCTTAACAGCTGGGCCAACCGGCAAGGACTAGAGGTGGCAGTCCCTTACCCTTGACTCTAGGGTGGATAGTTTAAATCATCAGCTGATCCAAGCCATGACTGCAGATGTCTTCCCAGGTGCTTTGGGGAAGATGTGTGCATCAGCATCCCAGATGTGGATGCCTACATCATGGTCCTGCAGGCCATCGAGCCCCAGATCACCCTCCAGGGAACAGAGCGTTTCTGGAGACCTGCTGCCCAGTTTGAAAGTGCCAGAGGAGTGACTCTCTTCCCTGACATCAAAATTGTGAGCACCTTTGCCAAGTCCGAGGCCTCTGGGGACATGAGAGCCACAGGCTCAGGTATGTACAGGGCCATAGGGAGGGTGGATATTAACCCCTTACAGACAAGTAAAATGATACTTCAGGACAACCGCACTGCTCACCAGTGGCAAAATGATACACAGTAGGAAAAACCAAACGAAGCTAGAAAAATTCAGATGATCAGCAGGAGGAAGGACAGACAGCTTAACCAAGTGTAGCACACCCATGTAAGTGGCAGGAAGCAGGAAGGAAGACACTATGCTATATGCTAAGTGAAATGTAGTGACACGCACACTTGGTGGTATCCATGTAGCATGATAAAGGCCGTGTAAGAAAGAGATACCCAGAAGAAAAGGTACTTGATACTGACAGCAATGTCCTCTGAGAGTCATGGAGAGAGATGATTTGTTTCTGCTTCCTTTCCCTTCTTTGTGACTGCAAAAATGTCTTGAAGTGGGTGTGAATTTTTCTGATCATTAGAAGAAAAGCTAAAGGGGTTCAAAGGATAGAATCCAGCTTTGCATTATCACTTACAGAGCAGAAGGCTGGGTCTCACGTGCCAATAGGACTGAGCTCTGGGCGGGGGGAGGTGGGAGACTTCCAGGTTGTTATTCCCACCAATTTCATTATTAGGACCATTGCTGAGGGAAGGATTAGTTTCTATTCTCTGCTGGGGAGAAACGCACGGTTACACAGAAAGCAAGAGCATATGCTGTGGGCAGTAAAGAAGCCAACAGAGGGAAGTCTGCAGACAAGAAGGGAAGGACACCTTCCTTCTGCGACTCTGAGGGACTTGGCATTACAGGGAAATGCATGTTTGAGTGCCACGCTTCGAATCGTCTTCCAAAAGCACAATTTCAGCTCCCTTCCCCCCATCCAAAGCCACTGCTAATGATGTGCTGGTACCAGTAGACCTGAGTCCCCAAAGAGCTACTTGTATAATAATCCCAATTACCCGCCACCTTAAACCACGCTGGTCCCTAGTGATTAGGTTCTCAAGGGGCAGACCTCCTGAGCACCTAAAAATAGTTGGCATTTCACACCTGGCCAGCCAAGGTGGCTTCTGAGTTACATGCCAAGGTGCATTAAGTCATGTGACCTTCACTCCTCTGTTGTCCTCATTTGTGGCTAAAATCAGACCGAAAAGGGAAGGCCTGCTGATTTCACTGGTCAAAGCCCAGGAGCAGGGAGCTTTGCTGCAGTGACACTCACACACAGGCAATGCAAGAGAAAGCAGTTAACTGGGTCCACATTTTACTTTCTATTTATGAGAGGTGCACACAGAGCACATAGCCCAGTGCCCGAGAGCTATTATTAGTAGTTTTAAATTTCTACACTTACTGTTGAAATAGTCATTTTTACGAGAGTCTTAAATGAGGAGGCTAACTGTGTTTGCTACCAAGCCACAGTGACAGGCTCTAGGGTCATCTTCTGCATCCCCCCCAACCCCCATTGACACATATGCACACATACTCACACTTTTCCATATTTATGCAGGGGCACACACGTACACACTCAACACCCCCATGCATGCATGCTTTCATGCTTCTGTGCTACTTAGCTCTTTTGTAACCATCTCCTCTCTGACCCCTGCTATTGATGTATTGCAAGTATGTTTTCATTCAACACTACCTCTGACCCCCAGGCTACGGTCATCTCCTAATCTATAGATGAGCAGTTGCTGGCCCAGGAGCTCACAGTAGTTTTTAGCTCTTAGTGGTAACCACCCAACTAAACCAGAGCAGGAGATCGGCTTCTTCTAGAGGGCTCAGCCTTGGATGATCCCCTCTGAGTACCTAACACAGCAGTCTCTTCAACACAGTGGATCCAGGAAAGTAGAGGTGGAAGATAATGCCATAGGGAAAGAGGCATGTGATGGCAGCCAGGACATGCTCCTGCCTCGTGTGGCTCTGTCAGCCATATCATGAGGAAGATGACCTAACTTCACCCAACAGGAAGCTAGAAAACACCTGGAAGAGATTTAAAGTTACACATTCACTACCAAAGGTTGGCTTCAGTATTAGTGCAGATTATTTTTATATACTGTTAGTGGCACATAGAGCCATCACAGTAACAATTTAGGCACATGAAAATTCTAATAATATATAGTTAATGAGAACAGAACTATTCCAGATACCACTGAATATTTTAAATTAAAATAATTATCTTGTCCTTTGAATGTCTTTTTAAACATTTGTATTTTTACAGATACTAATAGTATTTAAAGACATGGCCTTGGAGGTGACACATTTCCAAAGTACAGGGTCAGAGCAACGTGCTCTATCCTATGTCTCCCGTTACTCTCTGTGTGACTTTGAGCAACTCTGTCCACTTCTTTGATCAGCTATTTCCCCAGTGATAATACTAGCGCCTATTATGTTTCCACTGTGCCTAGCACACAGCACACATTCCACAAGTAACAGTCACCTTTGTCTTAAACTGGGGTTTTCACTTAAGACTGCCAAATTGTCTGACATCTCAATATGTTGATAATTCCCTTGAGGAACTTGGAGTCATAAAATCAGGCAAAGACCACTCACTAGACTGACTAGCTTGCTACTGTGCTCCTCTGGAAGCCTATGAACTAATTAATTTACTTGAATTTACCAATTAAGAATTACCTTTTGTTTATATCTTGTTGACTTCATTGACAGATGATTAGTAAATAATCCATCTTTATTTTGGCAAAGCACAGTGGTCACTGCTCATGGCAGTTCCTTTGCCAGACTCTAAAGAAGTTCCTTCCATTAAGAACCTCAGAGCCTCCTGGACAGACAGACAGACAGACACACACACACACACACACACACACACACACAAGCACATACACACACAGTCTCATATGCATATGCACACACATGCATGCACACACATATTATCTGCACATGTACATGCACACAGATACGTACATGCACACATGCATGCACACACATGCACACACTATCCACATGGGAGAAGCTCTAAGATAAATGCAAGTTATGACTATGGCCTATAATGTCCCTGCAGATGAGGAAACTGAGTAGTATGTGGCTTCTCGGTGGCAGAGTGGGTTTGAGTTGCATACTCTCCCCCCACTAATTCATGCCACCTTAAACATGGCCAGATGAGCAGTGGGCGTGGCAGTGGGATATACACCTCCTTCTCCCGACCCACCTGGATTTGCAAGCAGTAGCAGGGGTGTTGTGATGAGCTAGAGATTTTTATGCTGGTATTTTTTTCCTGCATCCTTTTTGATGACAGCCCCAAAATCAGCAGTCTTGGAAGAAATGCTACACAACTTGGATTTCTGTGACATTTTGGTACTTGGAGGGGACTTGGATCCAAGACAAGAGTGTTTGGAACTCAACCACAGTGAGCTCCACCAACGACACCTTGATGCCACCAACTCCACTGCTGGCTACTCCATCTATGGTAAGACCCCACAAAGCCCGTCTGCTCAGTGATGTTCTCTCAGAATAGCCTTGTCCAGGGGATACTGAGTGTGGCAGCAGCTGGCGGTGGGGTGCATTATGTAGTCTTAGGAGTCAAGTGGAAATTTTTATGTTCCTAGACTTTACTTTCTAGAGTGACTCCAGCCTGTGAGTAAATTGCCCCCATATCCTTGCTCCTGGGGAATCTGTAGATAGACTAGTCTACATGAAAATTCTTTGGATTGGTTTAAGTTTTTGGAACTCTGCTTCCACTTGTTCTATACATAAGCATTCCGACTTTTACCCTTGGATTCAGAAGCCCTATGGCACATGTGTGTCCCCATGTCTTCAGTTCCCCCTCCTCTTTTACCTCCTGGCAGTAGTTGTGGTCTCTTGGTACAGGAGTGGGGTCCATGAGTCGCTATGAACAAGTGCTGCACCACCTCCGTTACCGAAACTGGCACCCCACTTCCCTTGAGACCCGGAGGTTCCGGATCAAGTGTTCAGAACTCAACGGGCGTTACACTAGCAATGAGTTCAACCTGGAGGTGAGTGTATCCTGCCATCATTAGGGGAGGCCTGACCTACCTGTCCATTCCCTCATTCATTCAGAGAACTATCACAAATGCCTACTTGCACCCCCTCGTTGCTCTTGCCAGGTCAGTGTCCTCCATGAAGTGAGAGTCTCGGATAAGGAACATGTCAACCACCTTATTGTGCAGCCGCCCTTCCTCCAGTCTGTCCATCACCCTGAGACCCGGAGTAGTATCCAGCGCAGCTCAGGTAGGATAGCTCAATGGCATTTCAGACACTGAACCCAACAGTAGCCACTGAACAGCATCCAAAGGTGCTCAGAGGAAGGGAATCTCACCACAGAGAAGCTACAAACCCTTTCTCTGGACACTCTTGGTTCCAATAGGGAGTCAGTCAGCTAAGCAAGAAATTTCATTCAATCAATAACGACAGAGATTAGTACAAAGGGATGGGGGAAATTACGCTAGTCATTTAAGGCCCAACTCAGAAGCTCCCCATGAACCCCTCACATATTCACCGTACTCAAAGTCCTCTGCCCATGCTTTTGTTTGAACACTTGCCATATAGTGTCACCAGATATCTGATGGCACTTGTATTGATGGTGCTACTAGACTTTGTAGTGCCTGAGTTTCTTTGGGAACTTCCATATAATTTGAGGAGAAAAGCCATGGGTAAAAGAGAATCCCCATTCACTAAATGCCTGCTATGCACCTATTGAGAAGCTCATGGAGATTATCTCCCTTACTCTCCACAATTACATAGCAGAGTGAGTAGAACAGTTGATACACATTTGATGAAAGTGTATCCCAGACTTAAGGACCCAGAACCCTACTGCTGGGAATTGGGAGGGAAGTTTGTGTTGTGAACATAGAGGTTTTGTATTTCAGAAGAATGAGCTGTATCTTTGTCAAGTTGTTTGGGTTCCTTTCTTGTTTCAGTGGTCCCGAGCATCGCCACTGTGGTCATCATTATCTCCGTGTGCATGCTAGTGTTTGTTGTGGCCATGGGTGTGTACCGAGTCCGAATTGCCCACCAGCATTTTATCCAAGAGACTGAGGCTGCCAAGGAGGCTGAAATGGATTGGGATGACTCTGCACTGACTATCACAGTCAACCCTATGGAGGTGAGTCTCTCTGGGATGGGAACTCTGAGTGAGATGCTTCTCTTGCCAATCAACATGGTTCTACCTCTCCCTCAATCCAGGATCCAGACTCCTCCTAGTCTAATGAGTCCATTTCCAGCGGTTCTCCCATCTCTGTGCTGCTTTAGTCCTCTTGACATGAAGAAGCCATACCACTGTGAACTGTGTTCTCTAATTTAAATGTGTGAATCACTCTTACCCCATAAACAGAACTAGAATTTTCTTATAGCAAGCAGTCATTCAGTATCTGTACCTCACTCCCACTGTACGTCAGAGCTGACTAACACTCAAGAATTCAATATTGAACTCTTGATGAGCTAACAGTGCGAATCAGACGGCCTATGGAGCCCACTTAAAGGCTCAGAATAAGTTAAAAAAAATACGACAACAATACCTGCCATTTAATAAGCTCCCTGTAAGACAGACCCTGTGCCAGATGTTCTGTATACACCAGCACCCTGTGAAATGGGAAGTGTCATCCTCATTTACCAACGTGGGAACTGAGAAAGGAGTTGTAACATGATCAAATACATACAACCAGCATTGAAACTCAAGATAGTACAACTCTGAGGTTCACTTGATTTCAGTTGTCCAGTAGCCCCCAGAAACCATCTATGGCCATGCAAGGGCCCTAATCTACATATATGCCTATCCTTCCTTTTGCCCATGGGTGCTTAGTATAGAAGACACAATCCCAGAGAAAAATCAGGAAAAGTCGTAGACAAATAGTAAAGATGATCATTGCTATCTGGTTCCTTTTTTAACAGCAGCTCCTGCTCCAGTTTCACACCCAGCTTGCCAGCATGGCTCATCTAAGGATGCTGGTGGTGAGCATCCTCATCCCCAAAGAGTTGAGCTTAAAGTGTGAGAAGCAAGAATGGTCTGAGGAGCAGACAGTAGTGTGCCTCAAAAAGGCTGACCTCTTGCTGAGGCTGCACTGGATAGAGTACTGGGGGCTGGCCGTGCAAAAACATAATAATCATTACAGCAGGCTAGAGTAAGGGAGGCCTTGTAAAAAGAGCACAGTTTGGAGATAACAGAATTGGACAGAAGGCCATCTAAAGAGGTGTGTAGCCTCGCAAGGCAACATATCACTCATGACCTGATTTTCCAACTCAAAGCATAAATCTAGAAAAGGGATATTGCTGGACTCACTGCAAAGCTGGAAGAAAGGAGAGTGGAACTGGAAAGGGTGGGGTGCGGTTTGAACTCACAAATCATGGCAAAAGGGAGCAGGTAGGGAAAGGGGGGGGCTAAACATTGGCTTTTGTGAAAGAATGGTTTAGAATGACAGAACTTTGGCTTAGAAGACCTGCTATTTCTTGCAACACAATGTTCCTGCATGGAAAGGTGTCCAAGATTAAGCATGATTCTGCCCCTGGGAAACAAAGAGTTAAGAACTTGAAATTTCCATTTAAAGGATCTGAAAGATTCAGTAAATGATGCTGCTGGTCTAAATGCCCATCTATAATTGGCACTAATATGTTTCCTTGACTATGTGCTGCTATTTTATACCCTTATCTGACTTGCTAAGTTTCCTCTTTTACAGAGATCCTATCTCTGGGCAGGGTGAGGGGTTTCACACTCCTTAGTGTTCGCTGCTCTCAGCTCCCACATGGACCCTGCTGAGTCCTTGATGCATATTTCTTTTCTCTCCTTGGTGTTCAGAAACATGAAGGACCAGGGCATGGGGAAGATGAGACTGATGGAGAGGAAGAAGAGGAAGCAGAGGAAGGCGGGAGCTCCAGCAGCAGTGGCTCTGATGACAGCGAAGAGGAGGAAGAGGAAGGGATGGGCAGAGTCAGACATGGGCAGAGTGGCACCAGGCAAGCCCAGCTGGAGTGGGATGATTCCACCCTCCCTTACTAGTGCCCATAGGTCTGCTGACCAACCCATGTGCCCCTTTTGTAAAACCCAACCCAGTGTATGCCCAAGCCTATCACATTCACCTCTGGTTTATATGACAGGTCTGGGATGGCCATCAGCTTCCTCGAAATCTGCCCTCTATGCATTGGACACTGCCTATGTCCCAACCATGGGTCAGTTCCAAAAGCCCACTGTCACCACCAGTGGGGACTGTAGGGTGGTTACATTGTCCTGTAGCTCTCACTTCTTTCTGCTCTGGGCTCACCCAGAATCCTATCATTCAACCTGCAGAGTTCTCAACACCTTGCTCTTTTCTGCAGGGGAGGAGCTCCCCCTTTGTGTCACTTGCTGCCCCTAGACTCAGTGTTTTCAAACTCCTTGGGTTATAACTCACTGTGTATGTACTTGACTAAATAGCCTTTCTCCACCTACACCAGCAGGTCCTCTATGCTGGGTCTCCAGGTTGCTTTATACAGAGAAGGCAGTAGAATCTCACTCATATACCTAAGATCTTAGGGCTTAAGAATTGAGAAGAAAGCCTTTGTTGAGGCATAATTGAGTTTCCACAGAAAGGCCCATAGTGAACTCATATATGCACACATGAGTGTGCAAGTGCACGTGTACACACACACACACACACACACACACACACTTCCAAGCTCAGAGAGCCTGTCTTTTTACTTCTTCTGAGACTAAATAAACTGTATAGCAAGTTTAAAACCAAGAATTAGTTGGTCTTTGACCATAAGTAGAGTGTGTCCTCATCATAGGGCTTGTTGACCAGCTTTCCAACCTGCCCAGACAATGCCTAAACCTATGTGGCCGCCCTACCCAGGACTACAATCATGGCAGAACCACAGGGCCCAGGAAGCACTTCATACAGGCACTCTTCAAGTGACAGCTTAGGCATGGATGTCACTAGGAGCCAAAGAAAGGATTGATGGGATGACCCAACAAGGCTTCATGGTCGATAAAGATCTGCTTTGGGTTTGATATGGCTGGACTCTCCCATCTAAGGGTAGCCCTGAAGGTTGACAAGGCTGTCACCACCCAGACTATGGTCCCTTATCTCCTATGTTACTGTTTTCTTTTTATGACATAACATCATTTCAGATGTAGTTGAACCAATATAGGCTCTACCAGCCTGAGATGTTAGTTGGGTAATTTAACTGCTAGAGATTCAAAGTATATGTGTGATAATAACAGCTGCTTCTTTCTTCTTCTCATAAAAAGAGGTGTGCTTTGAATAGAGGGCAAATATATCAAAATCCTAATTTCTTGTTCTTTCTTCTTATTTTAATAAGAAAGACTTTTCCATCTCCATTCTAACGTGGGCACTTCGTGAAGATTGTTGCTATAGTAACTGGTGGACAATCTTTTGTGGCCTAGAGAATAGCAGGCAAGAATTAAGGCCATTATAAGAGTTCCACAAGGCTTTGAGGAGATGTTTGTTTCAAACACCTTGAGCTCCTCTTTGTTTTCAATCTGTTCTTGTCATCCCCATCATCCCACTCTGCCCCATGCCCATCCTGAATTGGCTTGACCCAGGTCCACAGCTGATCTCTCATCACATAGCATTCAGATTCAACTGGATGTTGAATCTTCCCTGTGTTATCTAAACAGAGCACTCAGCCAGTGTCCAGTAGTGCTCTGCTCACCTTCCAGGCTTCGAGGATCCACACTAGGTCTTTGCTACCTTCTGGCTGGGGAGAGCTACTTTATGTTGCTTCTCCATCTCCTGGAGTGTTTTGTGCATACCTTCCATTTCTTGAGCCTTAGGATAGCCCTGTGAAGTATTTGAGAAATTGGTTATTAGGGGACATGCTTTGTGATGGATTAGCTGAGGCTCAGAGTCAGTGTCCTGCTCAGAGTAATTCCAAGGTACAGACTTCCCTCTGCTCCTGGTCCATGGTTCTACTTATGTTCATGTTAACGTGCATTTCTGAGACCTACTATGTGCTAAGCTAACTATCAGCAGCAATAGGAATGGGATGAGGCAGAATGAGACAGACCTTCCCCCACAGAGGACTCAAAAGTTACAGAAGGGACACAAACAGGCATAGAAATTACACAGGAGAAAGGAGAACGAAGTGACAGATGCCACTGGAAGAAGGGGACACGTTTACCAATCCAACCAGTGCCCTAATTTTTGTTTCTTGGAAGAAACTCGAGATTTTATATTCATTGAAATGAAATAGACACATCTCCTGTGAACTACCCCAATCAAATCCCCCCTTTTCTGTCAGGCCATTTCTGCACATTTACAAGGGGGGGAAATCTACAGGAAGGGTTAGACTTTACAATTCTATTATTTAAATAATAAGACATTCTTCAGTCAAGCATTTAGGAGCTACTGAATTCTCCCAAAATTATGTCAGTAAAGGGAACAGTTTGCATGTTTAAAACCAATCCTTTTTGATTGAGATTTTGATTGCAAATGTTTAAGTCTAGAGTTCATGAGAGCACTTTTCCCTACTCTGTCTTTTTAGTGCTGATTGGTGGACAGCTGTTTCCATGTCACCCTGGGCTACCTCTTGTGGCAGCATTACTCACTTGTGGTTGGGGGAACTGTTTGGAGTATTAGATTACCTTTATGTTTTGTGGTGTGGGGTAAGCAGATGAAAGCTGGGAAACTTTGGGGTAAAGCAGCCAAGAGGTATCCGTTCTGGGGGCATTTGGTGACTGGACTCATTTGCAGGGAAATAATGGCGACACAAACTAAAGCCTTCCCCTCCTCTGTCATGACACAAGGTCACTCTGCATGCCAGCTCCAAAATCGAGTCATCTTAGTGATGCTACTGGGATGACAGACTTTTATCCTGTTCCCAACACTCACCTAATCTTGGGTAAGATCAAGGAGGGAGTGGTTATAAAGTAGCAAGCTTCAGCAGGTATCCAGGTGAGTGGTAGGGTCACAGCACAGGCCTCCCACTAGCTACTCTGACCAGGAATGCAAGCTACTAATCACACTGGCATTTTCCAGTGTCAGGAGAATGGTATTTTGAAACCAAAGTTCCCAGGTGACCTGGACACCATGTGACCTCTGGGAAGAGGTGAGCAGCCAAGCAAAAGCAGACTCAGCCCCCAAGAGAATAAGCTGTCTGGTATGGCCATAGACTAGTCCATTGCTTTTCTTGCTAAATGGACAACCTGGGCCTGCTATTCAGAGCTTGAAAATAGGCAAGCTGCCAGTCTCAGGTAACTCAGAAGCAGAAGGATGCCAGTGGGTTGCCCCAGTGGAGGAAAGCCATTAAACCCATTGGAGAAGTGTCTCAAGGAATCCTGAGTGTATTCAAATAGATTTAAGCAAATTCTGTGAGTCTGACCAAGGCCCCAAGTCACATAGGTACAAAGGAATGTGATTGCTGCAGCAAAGCTTTCTGTGAAACCTATATTGAATTAACCATTTATTCCGACCACTCAGAGTTTAGACTAAAGTCTCTGACATGAACAAGAGAGTATGTCTCAAGGGACACACCCACCAAGTCTCCATGGAGATAACCATTGCTAGAAAAACAGTGCCCCCTTCCCATATATCAGAGATAGCAAACTATCTGGAAAGACCCAGAGAGGAAAGCCTTAGGGTCTTGCGGGCCATTTGTTCTCAATGTTACTCTTCTATACTCTGCCTCATGCCATGGAAGCAGCTGCAGACAATACCCAAGCAGAGGAACATTTCATCTACTCCCAGTAAAACTGATCTATGAGACTGAAGGGGAAAAAAGAGGCTACTTGAATTCATTGAATTTGCATGTCATAAACTTTTTACTCTCTTAATTCTCATTTTCTACTCAAAACTTAGCTTGCTAGACATCTAGAAAACTAGCCACCAGGCAGATCCATGTGAGGCTCTCGTCCTCAACACATAGAAAGCAGCCAGCCCCTCCCCCATTTTTTTAGAAGAAAACACCCAAGAGCTCCCTAGTGGTCATTGCCTTGAATTGAACAGCTGGAAAATTCTGGGCTCTTTCATTAAAGTTCTCTTAGAAGTTCACAGGAGACTGGAGAAAACGCAAAAGAAACAGTAAATGAGCCACCAAAATCCCACTTGTTATTTTTGAATTGAAGAAATCAGACAAATATTCCTAGGGGTTGGATGCCTGGACCCAGAGAACTGGCTAATCACAGAGTACAGGGACTCGCTCCTCTGTTGAGGCAAGCACTAGCTCCCCAGGCTTAGCACCTTCCCAGCAGAGCTCAATCCATAATGATTTCTAAGCAGGGGTGTTCATTATCTGGGACTGATTTTCATTTCAGCCCTGTTCATGTCTTTGCTCTAAAAATGATCCTAAAGACTTGTGGCTGTTCGAATCAATAGCAACACAATCAGCAGAAAGCCCTACCCAGCAACACTTCAAAAATTAACAGCCTCCTTGCCTCTATGACTCAATATTAGCTGCAAAGAAAAGAGTGCTTTTTCTTAATCATCTCCCTGCTTAAATTAACCAGATAGGCTTTGCAAAAAATAAAAGTGAGGGAGTGAGTCCAATTCTTTAGAAACGTGGATAGTGTTCACATAACGTATGGCCTCTGGGGGATCTCAGAAGCCTCCTGCAATGTGCTCGGACAGGTTGTGATGTTGCAGGCTTCTCTATCTGTGCCAGACATTTATCGAGGGTGACAAGCCAAAGCCCTTGGCACGGTTTAATTTTCATGTCACCAATTTCTGTTGTCCAGCTAGAGGCAAAGGGAATGAACAGTGTAAGTTTGGAAGTCAACTCCAGGACCTTCACTTGCCTGTCTTTATTTGTTTTACTTTATACATTTATCCTGCATTAGCTTCCTTCTGACACTGGTTGAGAAGGGGGAGTTGGCTTTACGGGAGCTACAGATTAGGAGTTAAGCTCGACTTTGTCCATGGTAACCAAGAGAGACAGGAGTTACCTCCATGAGCACGCCAGAGAGTCATTGTGTTGAGTCACTCGGCAGATGGGAGTCTCTGTTTGCACCTATGTTCCACAAATTCAGCAAGTTCCCACCACCGAACACCCACGTGTGCTTGATTCTAAGCCAAGGAACAGGGAAGGGAGGATAACCTAGAGTCTTGCCCGTGAGAGTCCCCTGCTCTTGTAGTGTCACAAGCAGTTAGGACTGTCAGGGGAGGGAGAAGCTTAAGGGTAGAATAGTTGCTTTGTTGTCACCTAGTTTAAGTCAGATGGTAGGGATGACCCTAGGGGTGCTGAAGGGTCTCCATGAACAGAGAGAGCTTCAGGGAAGTGAGCAACGTGCTCCTAAATGCCCCTTAGTATCATGGCTCATATCACTATAGAGGAAGGCCTTTCCCTTTATGGAGAAATTGGCTGATGGCTGAGAGTTGGTGAAGCTAAGACAGAGGTAGTCCTTAAATAGGAGCAGCAGGCAGGCAGACCAGGAAGGTTATGAACAGTGGTTTAAGTGAGTTCAGGGGGCTTACAACCAATGCCCAGAGTCTGGCCAGCCTGATGCAAGGTTCATACACGAAGGACTGAGCTCTGGGGAGCTCTGCAGAGGTTTGGTCATCAAGTCTCCCAGCTCCGGTTCTCTGGCTGAGTGACCTGCAGGACAGAAACAGCAGCAGCAGCACCCTGGAAACTAATAAGGTAAACTCTACAAGTGAGGCTTTAGTAAGCTTTGGCTCAGGAAGGCCAGGGTTTGCGAGCTGTCTCTGTGGAGGATGAGGCCAGCCTCTGCTGGCACTTGGAGGAGTTGATACTAACAAACAAGAGAAAATAAGCAGCCCCTCCTGCAGTTAAGGAGAGAGAAGGAGAGCCAGGCTCCAGTTCACATCCCTGAAGCAATCATTTCAAAGATCATGGTCTCATTTCCAGTTCCCTTCCTCTGCTCGGGTGTGAGATGATTCCTCCCCTCGTGCCCTTTCTCCAGAGAGACATTGCTTAGGAAGGTTGTAGTGAAGGCACCCAGCCCTAGGGAGGATACCTGCTCAGTTCCTGCCCACTGAACAGCCTCCTTCAAAGCCAGGTTTTATGTGAGAGCTGTAGAGCTGCAGCAATGAGCCCTGACCACTAGGAGGCGCTTTGCTCACTGCATACATCCTGGAGAACAGGGTCACTCAAGGACATCCCCAGGTTACTGCAGCACTCACTGTTCATTTGTAGCAAGAATCGCGATTGCCATCACAATTTAAACACTAAATTGGATGGAGAATGGATTGTTTCTCTTAGAAGGACAGTAACCCGTGTTGCTAAAAGGAGGAGAAAGAGAAAAAGAAAAAAACTCAAAGCTTCAGCTTCATCTACCGTGGGAATCTCATTCCTGTGGTCCTTGTAGATACCAGGTTCCCAACGCTTTTCTTTCCTGATTTATGGCATAAAATCTATAATGTAAGCACCATAAAGCTTCAGCTGGAACTCCTTATGTTTTGTCAATCATTGTGCCTGTGACCTAAGTCTAGCCTCATATTAGGATCTCAAGGTCAAAGTCAGAGGTCAGGGCATAAAAGAGGAACAGACAGCATGTAAGCCAGGAGAACCAGTCATATTGAGTTTCTACAAACCCAGCCCCCATTCTTCTCAGAAACATGTCACTCCTGACAGCCTCTTCACTGAGCCTCCTAAGTTCTCCAAAAAGAACCTGAGAGCAGCTCAGAGACCATGTTGAGCGTATGCATCTCTATGACATTAGAATCTGCCTTTTTATAGTAGAAGAAAAGGGGAAAAAAGAACAGAAAAGAAAATATAGGACATGCCAGTTATATGCCTGTGAGAAGCACAAGGAAAGCCAATAGAGGAGTTTTTCTTTTGCAGCCTGGCCTCTCTGAGTAAAGTCCCAGCTGAGACTTCTTTGCCAAGACATAAGGCAACTTTCTGTTTCCCTTACACACCAGCCATTTATTACAAAAGCCTCCCATAGGACAACACAGAAAGTGATAGAGAGTAATCTGGAAGCAAGGCTTTCCTTGGCAGGTTTGTTCATGTAGGACAAGAAGACAGTTTGCTCTGGGTCCAGTCAAGGATATCAAGGTTGGGGACGGAGGGCTGAGTGAGAAGAGACCAGACCATCAAGGAATGAGACACGGGATGGAGTCACCAAACAAAATATGTGAACTGGTACTTTTGGGCCATTGACAGGCATACCCTAAGGTGGAGCCACATTCCAAGAACCACAGTCTACCTTCCCAGGGTACCCTAAAAAATGACTGGATGCAAACAGTACAGACCTCAACTTTCCCCCACTCCCTCTTACCACCTCTCTAAGACAAGAAGAGTAGCTGATGTGTCCCAGGATGCTGGTCCTTCTCTAAGGATGTAACCAGTGTATCCAAAGCAGGTCCACAGCGTGGGCTCAGCAAATGCTGGATAGAATTCCAGAGATCACTTGGCCTCAGAGAATGGGTGTAGTTTGAAAAGTTAAGATGCCCTGATGGAGAAATCTTTTGCAAAATCACTAGGAATAGAAGAAAAGTTGAAGGAGAAAGGGAAGGTGTCAACATTTTGTGCTTCCTCATGGAAGCTGGCAGAAAGGGACATTTTTTTCCTAAGGTAATCTTTTCCAGGTAGGACCAGTAAGAGGACCCCTCCCTGCCACACCAGGAGCAAGAGCAGCTAAGCCATGATGAGCCCCACTTTTTCCACCCCTTGAGCCACAGGACTGAGGAAATAGAGCTTTAATTTGTTAATGAGCCCAGATCTTTGCCACTGACCCACCCCTTTTATCAGATATACTGTGGACAGATTCATCACTGTGAAGTTCAATCCCCAACAGTCCAAAGAGACAAGGGCAGCAGACACTAGAGGCTTCGGAATACAGGTGGTGTGTATTAATCACAGGAACAAAATCATGTTGGCTTTAATGTTTTCTTTCTTTCATCTGGGAGTGAAAATGCAACTCTGTTACCTGGACTTTTCTACTGAACATTTCAGAGCAGAAGTGGGACACAAACACATATAAATATTGAGGGTTCTTTTCCTCAGCAGAATGAGCTGTCATTAAAAAAAGAAGAAGAAGAAGCTAAGAGGTTATTTCTATTTGCAAACGCAGAAAATCCACCCACAGGTTTTAGGTCTAGACTCCAGCCCCCCTGTGGGAAAAGGACAAGGAGGTAGCCTCTACTCTCTGAAAGGGTTCCTTGAGAGCCCAAGAATAACGGTTCAACTGGATTCACGGCTCACCTCACTGAGTGAAATGCATGTGTGCATGAATCTTTGGAGGCAAAAATGCATCCATCCTTGCCATCAGGGAAGGCTGGGTTATGGCTCTCACCACTACCCACTCTCCATGATGCAAAGGAGCCATGGAGGGAATATTGATGACCCCTTCTCAGACACACTCCAGAAGGTTGGAAATGGAGCAAAAGTTTTAGGCAAAGGAAGTTAGACTTGGCACCCAGGTGAATCACTTGAACAGGAGGGGGAGAGATACTGAATGAGAAGGGGTAGAGGTGGAGAGTAAACTAGAAGCTGGTTAGGATCAACAGCATCAGAAGCAACCAGGAAGCCAGGGTACTGCTCTATACGTAAACTTATATTCATGTGTCAAAGAATCATGGGTAAATAATGCCATGTGACCACAGAGGCAGTTACTGCAGTTGCTTTACAAGGCAGAGCCACTGGAAGAGGATGACAGATCAATCTACCTACCAGGTTTCCAACCTTATCTGCTTCAAAGAAAGATCTGTTGATGCCCTAAGCTGGAAAGGCATGGCAGGTGATTGGAGGAACAGATGGAAAATAGAAAGAAGAAAGCTTATAGAGGAGCCAGTTGTTCCTAAGGAAACATAGTTACTAGAGTGGGCCTTGTTACTACGTTACTGTATGTGCATTGTAATGTCTGTAAGATGGAGTCAGAGTGATGTGACAGGGCATTAGTTTGGGGAATTGGAGTAGGAAGTATAAAATACCAAATATAACTAGGTGAAGAGCAGCTGAAAATATATATGTATGTACATATATACATATTTATAATATGGAAGTAAGATAAAAAAAAACAGAGAAGTCATTAGTCCCAACAAATTTTGATTCTTCAGATGCCTTAGGTTATTCTTATTTGCTTTTAGCTCTCAAAGCCCTGAAAGAAGTACCTGGAACACAGCGGGAGTCATAAACATTTGGAAGTGAAGCATCTAGCTTGTCCTTGCTTGGTGAAGACCCAGTATATCACTAAACTCCATACTGATTGAACCATATAGAAACAGGTCAACCATGCAGATCTCCTAGCTTAGAAAAGCCTTTGTGAATTCTCATATTCTGTGCAGTAGTCAGACAATGGCAGACACTGGATCTGAGTCTTAGGTAGTGAACAGTGACAGTGTTTCACACGGTTGCTTGTACAAATTTAGAACATATCTGAGTAACACCCACAATGCTGTTTCTACAGAGTAGTCTGCCCAAACCTACCACTGTCTCTGCCTTTCCCTAAGTACTTGCTAAATACTGTTCACTCTCTCATCTTCTGTCATTGATGCTGGACTAAATACAAAGATTCTGGGTTCAGCCAATCTCAGACCCTTTCCTCCTCCCATCTCTGGAAAAATGATGTCACCATTTTAAAGCCTTGTATGAGAAACCTGTTTGTTCCCAGCTCCTCAACCTCAGTGCATGGAAAAGGCCTGAGATGGGCAGGCTGCTTGCTCTGCTGGAATCTCTCTGGGGTTCACTCTGCAGGGAGAAAGAACGGCCTCATTGTATGCAATCACCTTCTATCTGCACCTGACTGGAAGTAGTCTAATGGTCAGTGCAGCTGGCATGTCTTTACCAGGAGCCAGCTGCACTTGGGGATTGTGTGTTCTTGGCACACAGCAAACTTCTGAGCTTCTTGGGCTGCCTCCAAGAATGAATCTCCTTAGTCTACAAAATGTATTTATTTGGTAACTATGCTACTGTGTGTGTATGAGTCTGATACAATGCAAACCTTGAAATGTCTTACTAAAAGGAATTATGAATTCATAGAAAATTGAATCCAACCTCAGAACAGCACATTATGTTGCTGGTCAATAAGGTTGCCCAGCCACAGGGGACCAGAGAAAAACCTTCCCCTCCCACCCCTTTCCTTGGTACCCTCTACCTGCCTAATTGCCTACTAGGTTCTAACTAATGCAGAGTGAGGAGTGCTGGGCGAGTACATGTACATAGAGATTTAAAAGGGAAATAACCTGTGGGGGAATCAGTTGAGTTTCTTCCCATGACTGTGATCTTATCATGCCTGAATCCCAAACTTTAAATTTCTAACAATTTCGATTCTTGGAGTTTCTGAGTAATTTGTTAAATGCCTATTCAACACAGACAGATATTTATTTTCAGCCTTGGCTTGTAAATGCCTACAAACTGATTCATGCTGGTGGTCGTTACGACACTTCTGTGAATTGGTTGAATAAATATGATTTTAGAATTTCACAGTAATGATGACTTCTTTGAGTTTTTATTGTTCAGACGTGGTGGGGTGAGAGGCTGCACACTGCTTTGTCTGGGTCAGCATCTCTGGTGCTCTATCCTACATCCACATAGGTGAAAGAGGCATGGTGGATGTGACAGTGGTCACACAAGATTTTGACCCTTATGAGGCTTCCTTCAGGACACATGAGAGCCGAGCCTGGAAGTATTGCCCTTGGAGACAGCTAGAAAGATGATTGGAGTGAGATAGGGTATTTATTGAATACCTACAAGTTGCTGAAGCTATAAACCCTAAGGTAGGTTATTCCTTCTGGTAACCATGAGAAAAGCATGAGACTCACCCAGAGGAATCAGAATGCTTTCTGGGAAAAATGACTGTGAACACTGCCCTTCCCCTCCTTTAATACAGTTCCGCACCCTCATGTTGACCTGCCTTTAGACACAGATGACACTCAGGGCCAACTTGGCATGGGACCTCATAGAGATGGGTTCTCTCTCACCATCCAAAGTCAGTGGAGGCCCAGAGCACTTCCCTGGGATTCTAGATGCTGTTGTTACAGACTCCACCTCCTGGTTTCTGTTGCAACAACACAAGGCTAACCCCCCCCCCCCCCGCACACACACACCCTTCAATTGAGTATCAGGGAGAAGGGGGGAAGATTCAAACAAAACATCCTTGAGCAGCTTCCAGGATAGGTCAGTGATTAAGACCATTGGCTGCTCTTCTAGATGGTTCTATTCTACATGGAGATGCTTACAACCATTTGTAACAACAGTTCCAGGATATCTGGTCCCCTTTTCTGGCTTCCACAGGGACCAGAGGCACGTGTGGTATACATGCAAGCAAAACACTCATACACAGAGAATAAAACTAAATACATGTTTGGTGTCCTCAGAAGCTGTATTAGTTTGCTAACAAAGTATCTGATGACTGAGCAGGGTGACACATGCCTTTAATTCCAGGACTCCAGAATCAGAAGCAGGTGGAGAAACTCTGCCTTGAAAAAAACTCTGTGTGTGTGTGTGTGTGTGTGTCTGGGAAAACTTAAACCCAAAGGGCAGGTTACTTTGGCTCCCAATTTTAAAAGGTTCAGTTTATACACTCTTAGTCCCATGTACTTGAGCAGGACATTAGGATAGAAGAAGCCCCTTGTGTAGAGATGTGTACTTTATGACCAAGAGATCCAAACAGGAAGTATCCAAAGACCTACCTTACAGTGACCCACTTCCTCCAGTTCAGCCCTCTAAATTCCCAGAACATCAACCAAATAGTGCAAACATCTGGGGTTCCAAACATTCAAATAATAAGCCCATGGTGGGCATTATAAATTCAAATCATAACAAAACCACTGGTGACATAGAGAAGACACTGAACATGACAAGCACACTGCTGCATGTCACAAGAAGCATTCTTGCTTTCCTAACCCTTTGTGAGCATACTCATGGGCCCCATCTGCCTTCCATCAGTCCCCTGCTAGCTAGCCTCCTCTCCTCTTCCTTCTCAGATGGATGTAAAAAAACATGGCTTTTTTTCTTTTCTCTGGGAAGAGCAGCTTTAAAACCCACCTCCACCATCCTACCCCAAGGTGCAGATTCTTGTACATAACCATCATGCATACCATCAGCATTCTTCCCATGTGATGTCAATCCAATATATTTGTCACAATGAATTATATTCTCTCTTTTGCATCACAAAGTCAATAAAGAGACAAAGAGGCCTTGATCTGATAAGTGGTGCTTTATTGGTTCACCTTGATAACTCTCACGTGCACCCTATCAGTGCCCTTCTGTTTCAAGGTATCTTGGGAAAAAACACTTCTTACTTACAACACCATTATACCTTGGCAGTCTCACTGACCCTTCTCGTAGTTTGTACAGAGTTGATAATGGAACCTTACTTAAAGCATCCTCGTGATTATTAAGTGGGATAACACCTTTCAAATGTCTGCCACAGTGTCCAGACCTTTGGGTATTCCCTAAGTAAGTTTCACCATGTCCATTCAACACTCCAAAATAATACATAGTGTGGGTGACATCTCATCCACTCAGGTCTTCCTGCATTCTCTCTCACTGAGTGAACTCATTCATTCATTGAGTGATGGGTGCTCTCCCCACCTTCTCAATGGAGACTGAAGAAAGAGAAGAAGGGAGAAGGTCAGGGGTGATATACACACATTTTCTAAGGGTTTATTTTGTTCCAAGACTTTACCAATATTTTCCAATTTAATTCTTCCAATGACTTCAGGAGAAAGTTCATCCCTGTCTTATAAATGAAAAAGCTGAGCCCAGAGCCATCAGCTCTCCAGTCTAAGGCCATATAGCTGATGATGCGCAAACATGATGCTCTGACTTCCATGCTTGTCCCACTAAGCCAAATACCTGCCGGTGCTGAGAAACACCAGAATCAAGTGCTGCCTTTGCAAAAGCCAAACCTGCAGGTGCCAGAGCTGGTGACAAAGGTCTGTTTCCCGTTCGAGCACCTTGGGCTAAAACAACCCTCCAACACACCAGATACAAATTAGTCCCCTGGTTAAATAGCTAGTTTCAAAAATTTAAAAAACTGTGTTAAAAAATCTAAGCCAGGGAGTGACTAAGAGCCAGCAGGAGAGCACATTGTGTTAAAATATGCACTTAGAAACTAGGGCAAACATGTCTCCTCTCCCAGAACAGTGATACCAGAAAATAGTCTCAGGACCTTTGTAGATCCCCATGTCCTGGGGACATTGGGACATGGGGACTCAGCACAATGCAGAACCTTCAGACACATATCTAGTCACTGCCCAAAGATGTCCACAGCTCCTTACAGGGTGTCTGGATCCACAGAATAGTGGAGGAGAGAGGTAAAACTAAATGGGCTCATAAATAAGTACACAGCTGCACTTGCTGTCAGATCTACAAGGAGGCATATCTGAAGCCATGAGCAACATCTGTCTGGAGCCATGAGCAACATCTGCAGAGGAATATAAGATAGTCACAGACTCTTGAGATACTAGTGGGTCTAAGCCTTTAGAGACCTCCAGCAGCCTCATAAACTGGGTCCCAATGATCAAGAAGGATTTTTGCCTCTCTTTCTTCTCTACATTTCCTCCCTGAAGATGCTCGATCCACACTGCTCCTGTATTTCCTCCAGGGCAGTCTGTCAAGTCACCACCTGAAGGCACAACAATGAGTGTGTGGTGCAGGTATGGGAACTGTCCACCTGGGCATGGATTTTATCACTCAAGGCTATGTTGTTCACCTGCTGAAACTGGCTGCAAGACCTGAAGCCCATGTGAAACTGATGTGCATGGCTTTTGACACTTCCCATGAGCTGCACAGAGCTCCTGCCACAACTCTTGCCGTGTAGAATTTTGCAGTCCCTGGCTCATGCATGCATTCGTAAGGCTTAGCTAGACCTGGGGGTATGGATAGTGAAGCCTCATCACAGAGAAGCAGTCTGCTTTCTGGAAAATGTGGCTATTTATCTACAACACAGGTGATGGACAGCCATGAGCTGCCTCTGACAAGACTTTCGACGCTAGAAAGATGGCATCATGCATTTTCCTTTTGTGAATAAATGATAAAGTAATGCTTCATTTTATACAAACGCATCACTCTGTCACTTGGTAGGAGAGCACTTTGGTTCTAAAATGCTCTCCACGCACACTCTATTTCCCAACAGCTGCTAAAACACAACCATCAAAGCCACTTCTAACACATTTTGACCCAAACACAACTTGAAGCAGATTCTCTCGCTCACAGGAGCCTCCCACTCAGGAAATGTGTTCAGTGTGGAGCAGGAACAGAATTCTCAGTAGCAAGACCTCTGGTGAGGGATTTCACAGATGAATGGTCTGTGTGTGTGTCCGGCATGTGTGGACCAGTTTTTGCTGCCAGATTTTTCTCAGCTCGTTTAGTAAATATTGTGTCTGGACTGATGAAGAAGCGAGTATTCCCAATTGTGCCTCTCTGGGTGCAATAAAGAAGAGACACCTCCAGCAAGAAAAATAAATGTAAGGTAACAGTTTCCAAACTGTGTGCTGGGCTGGAGTGAGGGAGCCAGCTGAGCCTGCACCATCAGCCCACTGGGAATGCAATCTGGGCTTCTGCAATGAGGACCTCTGGAGGCTTTGGTTCTGTATGCAGAAAGTCTTAACCCAAGACAGATGGCCGGGAATGTATTCTCTTGACAGAAATGCTCCCTGGGGAGAAATAACAGACTAGCCTGGGGGTGTTTGCCTCCTGAGTGAGAGACATAGAATGAGAAGTCAGCCAAAGAATGTACCCACTCAGAACCGTGCCATTTAGACATACATTGTGTGGCTACAGAATTTACATTCTTGTATGAAAAATACTTCTCAAATTACATCTGTTTTAGGTAAAATCAAGGCCTTTAGAGCAACCATAAAGTTGTTCAACTCTGTGAAGTCTTATTTTGACTAATACATTGTCTTATTTTGACTAATACAGCAGAGGGATAAGGCTTGGGGAGGAAAGGGGGAGGGATTGAGGGAGGGGATGGATGAGTGGAACGAGACAAGGATGCAGCAAAGCCAGCCCTCATCAGTTCCTTTATAGATTCAACTGACTACAGAAGCATTGCAGGTGTGGCTGCTGTGTCACATGTGCCCCAGTAGGTGGCAGAGGGGAGAGAGGCTATGTCTACACTCAGTGTTCTTACCTGTGAACATCTGAACGGTTAGTAGCCTAACATTCCCTGAAAATGCAAGCCTGAGATGACCACCTCCAGCACAGGGGCCATGAGACGACCACCAGTCCAGCTCAGGCAGGCCTCTATGGCTGCCAAGATGGAGAGCAAACAGGAGACTAAAAGAAACCCCTTTCCCTGTGCCCACCTCCTGGCACTGAGGGCCACCAGGCGGGGGTGAGCATGAGACAGATGACCCTTGCATGGGGCCACTTGGGCAGCCAGGCCAGGCAAGGAGCAAGCCTGACACAATCACCAGTCAAGTAGCATGCAGGTTTGGAGGAGATGGGCAGATCATGTCTGGGATGACCCTGCCCTACTACTTGAAGAACAAGTAGAGCATAGAACCACTCCTGAGACCACTCCTGAGACAACCCCAGACACCCAGCAGCCTCTAAATAGAGCAAGTAATTGGTGGAGAAATGGAAGAAAGAGGGGTGTGGGCACAATGAAGAGAGGCAGAACTGGAGACTCTATGAGAAGCAACCTGATTTGAGTAGCTAGTGATGCCACATGGGACCATGGTGGGATTCTGGCCTATGCTACCACCAGGGGCCACATTTAGGTCCCTAGGCCTGAAGTGGTGGGAATCTGTTACCACTAAAGGCCAGACAGATGTCCCTGGTTTGTGCTGCCCCTGAAGACATACTAATGTCTGAGGGCAGTGCAGAACTGGACCTACTCCTCACAGGAGAGCTAGCTCAGAGCAGGAGAGATGACCCTGAGCCCAAGCGAGCTGCAGTACTCAGGGAACATTACAGGAGTTGTGGGTGAGGCCCCGCCCCAGGATAGAAGCTTGGGAAACCCGGTCCTACCATTTGTCTTCCATACTGTGTCATGGACAAGGAGACATACCCCTCCCCCTCTCCCATCCCCCCTCACTATATGCAATAGGCTAGAGATCTGTCTCTGGAGTCATGAGAGCAGGAGAGCTGTCCCTGCCCCTCACAAGCTGTAGCATTCAGGAGTACGGGCTCTGCATCTCACCTGGGCAGCACAGAAGAGCTGACTCTGATGAGGAAGATGGAATAGCATGGACAAACCGTTCTCAAAGGTGTGAGTATGAAAAAGCTGGCCCCACAACTTGTCTGTAATACAGTCACATGCATGAGGGAGAGATCCCCTCCATTTTGCCGTCACTAAAGGTGTTGGGCAGGAGAGTTGGACCCAATGCAGTTGTGAAAACAAGAGAGCTTGTCTTGCCCCTCACCTGCTGCAGCATTTGAGAGAGCAGGCCCTGCACCTCATCTGGGAAGCACAGTAGAGCTGATCATGATGGCAGGGTGCAGGTGAGCTGGTCCTGAGAGTGTGAGTATGGGACAGCCAGTCCTGCCTCTTGTCTACTATGTGGTGGCATGGACACCCTCTTCCTCTCGCTTGTCCCTTGCCGTCTACGGCAGGAAAGAGAGCTAGTCTTGGGGTTATGAGAGTGGGAGAACCGGCCATGTCCCTCATGGACTGCAACACTCAGAAGAGCTGGTCCTGCACCTCATGTGGGCAGCAGGGTAGACCTAGACTTGACAGAGCAGAGGTTGCTGGTGAGCCAGCCCTGAGGGCATGAAAGAAGAACCAGTGGTTTGAGCAGCTCAGATACCTCTCAGGCCCTGATCCATGGCTTTGAATTGTCCACTCCAACATCTACCCAATCGATGAACTGCTAGAGTATGTGAAGGGGCCTGCCCTACAGATCCAAAACTACAGGATCTCCATGACACAAGGCAACAACAGACTATCCAATGGGGATCCCAGTGAGGCTCCAGTATCGACAGAGCAGCAGAAGCCAGAGGCCTCATACCAGATCAACAAGTCATTGAAATGAATATTTGCAAGCAAAGACGTGTGGACAAAAGGGTGTACTGTGGGACATGCTGTGACACTATAGCTTCCACAACAAAATTTTTTTCTTTGTTGGTGAGTAGTTACAAGGGTGGGAGATGAGTTGGATTGCGGTGCATGATATGAAATTGATAAAGAACTAATACATGTTTAAAAAAATAAATTCAGTTGACTGTAAAATAGAAGTTACAACTCAGAAATGGAAGAAAACACTCTAAGGCTTCATCAGTTTAAGAATGATCACACACATACACACACAAAGAGAGAAGGGGGAAAGAAGAAGGATGAGAGGGGAAGACAGAGAGACAGAAAGAGATTTTTTAAGTTAGCCACTCTCAAAAATCCACAGTTAAAAACTACATGATTATTATATAACTGAAGTAATCATTCAAAATTACCACAAACAGCTATGCATGTGTGAGAGCAAGACAGAAGCAAAGAGGTAGACAGACAGCAAGAATGACTAATTAAAATCTACATGTTCTAAACAGGAACCCACTCACCTAAACATGTTGTTTAAACTCTTTAGATATCATTATCAAAATCTATGAGAGATTGCTCACCAGCTAAAAAGAGAACACAATGATTCTTCAGAACTCAAAAGAACATTTGACAAAGAAAATGAATAGATTATTCACAGAAGGAACTTGAGAGACTAAAAAGCATATAAAATATTCTCAAAGTCATTGATAATTTTACAAATGCAAATTTAGCATCACAGGTCCATCAGATTGGGACAACCTGGAGAGAGAGAGGAGGCAATGTTGGCGAGGCCCAGAGATCCTCGTGCACTTCTGATGAGAACAAAGTTGAAGATATGGCTCCAGAAATCTAGGAATTCCTTCTTGACAATCCCTAGAGAAACTTTCAAGTGTTCATGAATGAATGACATAACATGAAACGATATGTCAAGGAGCCTGAGCATATAGGTAATAAGTACATAGTGGGCTGTGCAGTGGAGGTGAGTGAGAAGATGCTAGACTGGCAGATTGGCAGTTCTTCATGTCCTGCTGTCTCCTCTTTCAAGACTCAGGGACTCATTTTCCCAGTTCCTAAAAATGTCTAGCTGGCTTCTCTCTATTTGACCTGATTCCTTCTGTTTTCCCACTGTTCAGTTCTGAGGAGATTATCAATAAAATGTCTCCATGCTCATCTCTACATCAGATTCTGCTCAAGAAAAGCCCAATATAAGACACAGCAACATGGAAAAATCATGTAAGCATATTTACAAAGGAGGAAAAAATTAAGTGGTAAGATTTCTAACCTACTAGTGTTAATATAAGTTAACAAGTACAGATGAAACTATACATGTTCTAAAAATGTATACATATAAAAGACAATATCAATACACCAAAAAAATAATTAGACAAGGGAGACCAGGCAAGTAAGAATGGGGCCTTTAAGAGAGACCACTTATGACAATAGAACATGAATCAAAAGGTTCAGCCAATAAATCCTATTGCAACTAAGATGGAAATTGGTACAAAATTTAGTTGATGAGATAAATGGCAGGTAGTTCAGGACACAGAGCTGAATGCAGAGATAGCAAAGGTTTCCACAACCTTTATGTTAACATTATTAACACAAGGTAAGAAAGCAAGCACTGCAATCCACTTGCTTCTAGAAGGATCTAGAGCCTCACTCAACCCATGAGCCTCTGTTTCGAGCATAGCATTCAGCTTTCAGACTGGCTAGTCCTAAGTCACAGCATCCTTCGACCCACCCTGCATGTCTCATCAGAGCAGGTACAATAGATAGTTTGCTTTTCTGTTTTTGTGACTGCTGAGCTTTTAACAGAATTAGTCTGGAACTTGTACAGTTGTGATATTTCTTTAGAAAAACTATGGAATAAAGAGATGTGGCTCCAAGCCTCTGAATGTCAAACACAAGCAGCATTTTCTGTTAACAAAAGAAGCTGGTCTGTTAGAGACTTAAATCAGCTGGGTGGCAGTGACAGCTGGATCTTCACCAAAACGCCTTCCCTCCTCTTTCTTGCAAGCTTTTGTCACTACAAGGCTGCCGTTTACATGTAGAACAAGGGAGCTCTAGACTGTAGAAAATTCATGGGGAAGAGGCCAACCATTCCTGAAACTGACCTGGCAGGAGAGGAGGTAGTCTAGGAGATACTTATTTGAACCCTCCCGCCCTGCTATCCGGCTGTTGATACAATGAACCCCAAGGACTTACACTTTTCTTGGAAATGTCATGATGGGGAAAGAAAAAAGAAGAAGCCCTCATGCAAATGAGGGGAAATGTATCTCCCAGGAAGAGATTTCTTACGGTTTTGACAGCCAATGACACCAAAACCGTAGTTTTGAAGCCAAGGTAACCTTGGACCAAAGATACCTGAGACGATGATGGATCCATGATGGGGGAAGGGCACACATTGGCCAGGACCACTAAATTATACATACTCTTGCCTTCTATTTAAACTCCATGTCAGTACCCCAAAGAAACAGTGGTCACTGGGGTCCATTGTTTGCTCCTCCTCCTAATGTTGTCACATTCAGCAAACCTCCATCCACCCCTTCCAATGTTGTCTTTTTAATTAGCATGCTGGGGACCAGTGACCTTGCTTAGTTTGCTGAAGCTGCCAGAGCACAAGCTATCATCACGAAAGCTCCAATATGGCCTCCCCAGATCTGCCTTCAGAAGCTTCCTGTGAGCCATGCAGCACGTGACCTGGGAACGATCAGTGAGCAAGAGACGGAGGCTCTCCTAGGAGAGCCACCTGGCTGTGGATTTCACACAAGCAAGACCCAAAAGAATCAAGACATATTCTTCAGGACTAAACAGAGAGAGGCAACAATTCATAGTCTGGGTAACCATGGCACACTCGATTCACATTGCAGTGTTTCCTTGTACTGGCCTGTTTGCATCTGCCTGCTTTCCCCTGTCAAATCACCCAAGAGTCCTTTGCATTTTATGAAAACTATAATCATGTGTCACCTATGGAAGATGGTCAAATTGAACCTGAGAAGAGTCCAGCATATTCTCTTTATAGGGAAAAACAAGACAAAAAAACAAAAACAGAACAGATCAACTAGAAATCACTCTAACATTTGAATGGAATATTTTAACAATTCTTTTAGAATTTCAGACAATATGTTTGGTCACATTCACCCCACCCCTTCCCAAAACTCCTCTCAGATTTGCCTCCACCTCCCTAGC